ATCCGACTGCGCGGCTGGGACAGTCCCCAGATCCCGATCCGGCCGGGAGGGGGGAAGGGGGAGGGGCGGGATTTCCTGCGGGAGGCGCCGAGCCGGCCTTGGAAAGGAGGAGAAAGGGGTGGGGGGGTGCGCAGTGGAAACCAGCGTCCAGAGCGCCTGGGGCTGAGCACCGCCAGCCGGACCCCCGGCGGGGCGGCCGGGAGAGGTGAGACGGCGGGGCCCGGGCTGGGGGGGTCAGGACCCTTGAGAGCAGACGCGAACTAACTTTTCTTGTCTGGTCGGCGGGCGCCTCCATCTCTCCGCTCCTTCCGCCTTCCTCGAGCCCCCCTTTTCGTTCTCGTCTCTCTGTCCCTCGGACTCTTGACTCTCCGGGCCCCTCTCGCCGCTTTGTTCCCGGGGTCGCCCGGGGCTGGGCTTGGCTGCGGGGAGCTGCGCGGCGCTAGAGGGGCATTCCGAGGGGCGGGGGAGCCGGCCGACCCCAGGCACTGCCAGGAGCACCCTCCCCCGGTGCGGGTCGCGGGTTTCGAGGAGGAGTGCCCTCCGGCTTGGGCTTGGGACTTAGGAGGAATGAGGGGTTCCCCACCTGGGCCCCAGGCCTGCACGAGTCTCGTTCCCCAAGATTCTGGCAACAAAATCACCGCCACCGAGGAACTGACTTAAGGGTTTTTTTTTTTTTTTTTTGCGGGAAGCCGAGGGTTGGGGTTTCAGATTCAGGCTCGGGAGGCGGTTGGCCAGCAGTGTCCAAGCCGCGTCCTGGATCTCTCTACCCCCAGCTGCTCCCTCACGCCACGGAAGCAGCAAGGAAGGGTTAGCAACAGGTGCTGTAGAACTTCCCTATCCAACAGGTAGACCTCCCCCCAGAAAATGAGGGGCTTAAGCTCCCCCACTCCGCCCTCTAAGCGGAGCTGGGGTGTTCACTTACTAAAGGGAAGCCCAGGCAGCGAGGAGTCTGAGGGCAGACACCTTGGACGGGAGTGACCCCTGCCCATTTGCCTGTGCCATTCTTCCAGGCCCTACCTCTCGGCCCCGCCTGTTGTGTTGTCTGTGGGTGTCAGAGCCTGGGGCTGTGGAGAATGGGCTGCTGGCCCTGCCTACCCCAGTGTCGCCTGCTGCCAGGGCCCCTCCTGCCCAAGGTTGAGGTGCTACTCAGTGCTGTGGAGCACAGGCAACTCAGCCCCTCCCTCCTGCAACGCCACCCCCCTCCCCTCTGCATGGATACACGCCTCTCAAGTACAGCAGCTTCCTCCCCTCCCCGAGTGCCTCAGACCCTCCATGACTCCCAGGGCAGCCATAGTGATTTGGGGGGCTCCCTAGAGGTCCGGTCTTGTTCCTCTTGTGTCCTGCTTCCTGGCTGTGACCCAGCTTTTCAACGGAGGACCTGTACCTTTCCCAGACCCCCCCAGGACTTGTCCACGGCTGCTGCCTCATGCCAGAGGGAATGGTGACTGCTCTCTGGATGGACATTGGAGCTTCGGAGCTAACCCAGGAAAATTGGCGGGCCCAGTCCCAGCCCATCCCAAGGCGGTCGGTCGGAAGCTGTGGGCTGATCTTAGTTCAGATTTCCACAGTCTCCACTCCCTGGAGACTGGCTTTCCTGCCGGCTGTGGCAGCTCCTGGAGCACCTTGAGGGGCCGTGTCCCTGGCTGACAAGCAGCCCCTTCCCCGGGGACACCAGACTTGCTCCCCAGCGCCAGGAGTCCTCCAAAGCACCGAGGCATGGTGAACTGAAGCCGCTTGTTTGGACCAGCGTCTTGCTTCTTCCTGGACTCTGAGTCCCTGAGCCTGGCGCGGTAGTCAGAATGGGTCGTGAACAGGACCTGATCCTTGCTGTCAAGAACGGAGACGTGACCTGTGTGCAGAAGCTGGTGCAGAAAGTGAGAACGGCAAAAACAAGTGAGTCCTTGGTGAGGCGACCATCCCACTGAGGCTGTTCTCCGATGCCCAGAGAGGGGAGGGCGCGGGGGGGGGGGGTGCGTCACTTCAGCCTGCAGACTCGAGGAAGAAGGACTGTCCTGTTGTAGACAAGAAGGGTTTCAGGGTAAGACAGCCAGAGAGGAAAATGGGGGTCCCTTCTTGCTCTGTGTCTCCAGGCAAGTCACTTAACAGCTCTGAGCCGTGGGATCCCAGCCTGCAAAGTGAGCGTCCTGAAGTACAATCGGTTTATGTTTTTGTTGTTTATTGTGTGCCAGGCCCTGTTCTAAGATCTGGACCAAGCTTCTAGCCACCCCCATCCCCCGCCCCCGCCCCCGGAGGTTGCCTGTTGGTAGCTGGCTTTTCAGATGTCTCCTTTGGCTCCATGGGACTTGGTTGTGTGTGTGGGGGGGGGGAAGAGATGAATAGAGAGGGCCAAGACCACGCCCAACCACATCCACGTACAACTGTAGCTTCCCCGTGTTTGCCTGTGAAACCTCTTTGGAAACAGTGGTTGGGTTTCTGGTGTTGCTGGTTGGTTGGTTTGGGGCTGTCTCCGTCAGGCTTAGAACCCACGTCAGGGTCACCGTGTTCCCAGCCCCAGAGAACAGTTTCCCAGGGACCCACAACAACCTGTGAGCTCAAGGTCCTTTCTCCCTAGATCACCTGCCCGTGTTCCTTAGGACTGTGTGGCCCAGGCTAATTTTCTAGCCGTTTCCATAGTCCTTGGGGACTTCATCCCTGACAGGGCAGTCAGGGCTGGGATGCATGGATGGCCACTAAGGACCCCCTGTGATGACACAGCCTGTCACACCCACCCCAGGAAAATAGGCCTCTGGACCCTGGACTCTTCCAGACCACCGGGCTTGTCTCCTCCAGGACTTAAATCGGCGGGTATTTATTCCTGCTCCTCTGGGGCTAGAGAAAGCGTTCCCTGAGGGGAGGGTCTCCTCTGTAACATTGGGGCTTTAACCCCGAGACACACCTGGATCTTGTACACAGGAAGGACTCCCCAGGCTACTTGGAGACATCTTATTATCCCCCGCCCACACCTTGGAGTGTCAGTGCCAAAAGGAAAGGCGTTAATGGCAGGCACCCACCTGCCCAGTGGGGTGGAGACCCAGCCGTGAGGTGGATCTGTGCCCCTAGGTCCTTGCATCCTGGGCATACCATGAGGGAGAGCGAGACAGAAGGAAGGTGCCCCGCTGGCCCCCCGGGAGAGGCCTAGAGGGCCATGTGGAGGCCACTCTCCTCCCCCTCACCTCGGTGTTGCTTTTGGCCACCTGCCCGGTGGGGCCTTGGTCACATTGCCGCTGGCCTCAGCCCGGGCTGCCTCGGAGAGGGAGGCCCATTGGAGGGTAGTAGGAGGGGTTGGCCGGTGGCGGGAACCCCACGACTAGGCATGTAGGCTCCAAAATATGTCTCCTCTGTCCAGTGGCAAAGTCTAGGGGATGAAGTTCCTCCCCTCCATCCAACAGGATTCACTCACCTGTTCAACATACAGGTGCAGGCTCAGGGTGACAGGCCCCGGGCCTCCTTATTAAATCCCTTCTGAGAAGCCAGAGAGGCTGGTGACAAAAATGAGATCACAGGTGACCTCTGCAAACCCGGGAGTTTATGAAATAGTGGAACACCCGCCCCCCTTGCTTCCTGTCAGGTAGGTATTTCTATATCCATTATACAGATAAGGAAAAGTGACACTCAAAGGTTAGTGACTTGCCCAAGGTCACATAGCCCTGGGGTCAGATGAGAGATAAGCCTGAGTGCTTTCCTTTGTGATCACTGATTTCTGTTTGATGTCAGTGTCACCTGGGGGATGTTCCAAACACACAGCTACACTAAAGAGCCTGGGACTTCCGTGGATGGCAAAGTTTAGTTGGTTCCAATGCGGTTCTCCAAGAGGGATGAAGGGCTCCGTACCAAGGCAAACCACTGAGATGGAGTCATCAGGGGGCCCCTTTTCCTCTTGCTGGGCTGGGTGGAAGCCTCTAGCTGATATTTGCAGGTTGCTGGGAGGGACGCCGTTGCGCCAGCCTCGCCCCTCCCCGTCTCCCTTCCCTGAGGTCTCCTTTCTTGGCTGGAGGAAATGGATGGGCCGGGATGTCTAGCTGAACTCACATCCTTTGCCTGGGCCTGAGACGGGGTGGCCCTTCCAGCCCCAGAGGCAGGCTGAGGAAGAAGGTTATGCCACAGCGGAAGTGACTGGAGCCACCGCCAAGAGCCAGGACCCTCCACCCTCCCGCCAGGGTCCCAAGCCCAGTTTCTCTGGGCCTCTCCACCACCACCTTTCCGGCCATTGTTCTGGAAAGAACAGAGCCACCTATCTGGCCCTGCCCCTATTCCTGTGTCCCTCCTGTCACATTGTCTGGCCCTCCCTAGAGCGGACACATCCAGCCACCTAACTGCCCCATCCTAGACTCTCCGAGCGGACAGGCTAGTAAAGGGAAGGTTCCCTAAAGGACTCTTGTTCTCTTCTCTTGGGACCTTGTCTTCACTGTGGCATAAGAGGCGCCTTGGCGGCCAAAGTTGCAAGGCCGTGAACACCTGCTTCTGGCAGCTTCCCCTACCGACCCCCCCAAAAGGTTCTGTGTTGTAAGGACTCTCAGAGGGGGTGAGAAGGTTTGGAGGCCTGCGTGAACTCCCAGCAGCCCCCACACATTTCTCTCCTGCCCCTTCTTTTAGTATAGAGTCCTTCAGCTCTACCTTATGTGTGTCCGTCCCCTCCCTCCCTCCCTGTCCCTTGCTCCCCTCCCTGATGGAATGAGGCCCAGCCCTTTTCAGACTGCTGGGGTATTTGGGGGCCCATCAGGGCCTGGGGGGGCAAGCCCGGACCAGCATGTTTGGCATCCTTCCCAGCCAGGGCTGAGCAGGCCCACTCCTTCCAAGCAGGGTGGGTTTCGGCAGGGTGCAGGGGCTGCCTGTGACAAGGGTTCTCCTTCCCGACACCTCAGAGACCTCCCCAACGTGGTCTGCGCGCCACTGAGTTCTCCCCCCCCGCATGTAGCCTGTCCCAGGAGGCAGGGCACACTGCTTCTGTAGCGAGGCCCACCGAGTCAACGCTTGGGGGTGTCCAGCTGCAGGTGTCCCCCAGAAGACAGTTTGAGTATGGTGCTCCGGTGTCGTGCTAAACCGTTAGGGTTGCCATCATTCCTGTGCTTACAAAGGGACAGGCGCTCACTCTCCTGACGACTTCTGGGGGCAGATTCTATGATCAGCCTGTTTTTGGGGGGTGACCGAGTCCTTCCTGTAGGTTAAACGGCCTGCCCAAATTTGGCAGGGCTGGCAAATGGAACTGGGCTAGTGTCAGTATATTCTATGTAGGCCTGCCCACCAGGTCCTACTCAGGGATGCTTGGAGCCCAGTCTTGTCAACAACTGTCTCTGTGCACTTGAATCCTTAGGGCCCCCTCCACTCTTTCAATGCCTGCTTCCCCTTCGCCCGGCGCGACAATATGAGTCTCCCTGGCCCATTCAGGCAGGAATGCCAACCATGCACCCGTGGGCCTGTCCTGTTGAAGGCATGTCATGCCAATACCCCTTCCCGCCCCCTTTGGCTTCTATAAACAAGCCGGGCAGAGGCTCTAGAGAAGCCAGGCTGCTGCAGCAGCGCCTTCCTGCTCTCGTCACCCTCCAGCCAAGGGACAGGAAAGGCCATGGGGCAGGTGCTCTTCTGTACACCCAAAGGTCGGTTGGGCCCTCGGATGCGGGCAGTGGGAGCGCCAGGTGAGGACAGGGTATGGACACAGCCATTGGTGCCATGTGTCCTGATGTCCCCTCCCCCTGCCGCCCCCCAGAGCTCCTCGGCTCCACGAAGAGACTCAACATCAACTACCAGGATGCCGATGGGTGAGTGGGCTGCTGGGGAAGAGTAGGGTCCCGGGATCGGGTGAGGAGAAGGCCCTGGAGCCCACAGCCCCCTCCCTCAGACTAGGTCCTTGAAGTGTTTGCTGAGAGTTCTGGAGCCTGCCTGTGCAGGGCCAGAGGGAGGGGGGTCCTGCCCCCCCACCTGCCTGAGGAGTTAGCCCTGAGCAAGAGGAGGGCCCCTCTTGGGTCAGATTCTTCCTGGGCCCCTTTTCTCCCTGGAGGGTAGGAGCCCTCAGGCCTCTGCTCCCACGGCCCCCTCCTCTGGGCAGGCCGGGTGGGGGATGTTAGACAAACGGGCCTCTCAGGCGAGACACTGAGTCCTTTCATGCTGTGGCCCTGCTTCTGTGCGCTCCCACGGCAGGGCTGGCAGGCACAGGGGGGGCAAGTAGCCCATCACTGCCGGCCCCCAGAATGAGCCTGGGGTGGAGGACTATTCGCTGACACCCCCGATTTGTGTCCCCCATGCCAGGTTCTCTGCTCTCCACCATGCTGCCTTGGGGGGCAGCCTGGAGCTCATAGCCTTATTGCTGGAGGCTCAGGCCACCGTCGACATCAAAGACAGCAATGGTGAGAGTCTCATGTATGGCACCATGTGGGGAAAGGGGGGACGGTCTCTACTGCAGCCCTGGGGACCAGCGCTCGCTCCTGTTTGGACATACCGAGAGAGGTGTGTGGGTTCCTTCTTGGAGCTCATGAATGGCTTCCTTCTGGAGAGGGCGTGTAGCTCAGATCTCCCCTTATTTGGATAAGGAAGTTCAGGGAAGTTATCGTCCTGTCCTGGGTTCGTAGGTCATCTGTGGTGGGCGCAGAGAGAACTCTTGACTTCAGCTCCTCTTTGGACCGTTTTCTGATCCAACCTGGGTGAAGCTCGCATCGCTGTGTAGAGCTCTTCCAGCCAGGGCGGCTCCGTTCCCTGTTTAGATCCCCTTGACGCCTCTTAGGGTCTCTTTTTCCTCCTGCCAGGCATGCGTCCCCTACACTATGCAGCCTGGCAGGGCCGGCTGGAGCCTGTGAGGCTGCTCCTGCGGGCTTCCGCGGCTGTCAATGCTGCCTCGCTGGACGGCCAGATCCCTCTGCACCTGGCTGCACAGTATGGGCATTATGAGGTGGTAAGTGGGCCTGCCTGAGGGGATGTGGGGGCGTCAGGGAGCCAGGCGGGGACAAGCCTCTGGCAGGCCAGCCTCCCTGACTTGGCTTCCCCCATCCCAGTCAGAAATGCTTCTCCAGCACCAGTCAAACCCGTGCCTAGTCAACAAGTTGAAGAAGACACCCCTAGACCTAGCCTGTGAATTTGGGCGGCTCAAGGTGAGGTCTATAGCCCCAGGATGCTGGGTGCTGGATGCTGGGTGCTGGGTTCTGTTTAGTCTTAGGAGGAGGCTCCAACTGGGTACTGCACACTGTAGGTGGCCCAGCTGCTTTTGAACAGTCACTTATGCGTGTCACTGCTGGAGGGAGAGGCAAAGGACCCGTGTGACCCCAACTACACCACACCCCTGCACTTGGCTGCCAAGAATGGCCACAGAGAAGTCATCAGGTACCCCAGGGGACCCACCCACTTCCTCAACCTCTTCCTGTGGGACCACTAGTTTCTAACCAATGCCACCCTGCTTATTACTATTTATTATTATGATTATGATGCGTATGCATGTGTTCTGGGGTCGTGGGTATGTGCATGTGAGTGTAGTTACCTGCAAGAGACCATAGAGCCGGAGTTCCAGGTGGTTCTGAGCTGCCCGGTGTGGGTGCTGGGAATTGAACCTGGGCTCTCTGAGAGCAGCACACCCTTAACCGCTGAGTCATCTCTCCAGTCCTCCGCTGCTGTTTCCATTCTTGGTTTCAATGCCACAGTGCCCACACCCCTGGCAGTCAGTTTCTGCCCCTGCCCAGCCGCCTCACACCCCTGCCCGCCACAGGCAGCTCTTGAAAGCTGGTATTGAGATCAATCGCCAGACCAAGACAGGCACCGCCCTCCACGAGGCTGCGTTATACGGCAAAACCGAGGTGGTGCGGCTGCTCCTAGAGGTGGGTATGGGCACCAAGAGCCTACCGTTATGTGCTGAGGGCAGCTGGGAAGCCCGTGGTGTTCTGTGGGGCCCGGGGAAAAGGTCTGACTTCCTCCGAGTGGTGCTAAAGGCTGTTTAGACACCAAGCGTGTCTCTTAGTAGCTCGCGCTTAACCTGGTGTCTGAAACTTCATGCTTGTCATCTCTAAGACCTGGAAGTGGTAGCAGCACCCCCGTCCTGGGTAGTTGGGAGGACTGGAGGAGGAATGTCAGGCAAAGTGCTGGACATGCTCTTGTGAACCCCAGGGAGGCGTGGACGTCAACATCCGGAACACATACAACCAGACGGCGCTGGACATCGTGAATCAGTTCACCACCTCCCAGGCCAGCCGGGAGATCAAGCAGCTTCTTCGGGGTGAGTGGGGGGGAGAGGACCTGGGGGGCCTTACAGTGGGTACCAGGGTGTGGTGGGAGAGTCAGCCGGGGACACCCGTAACGGACACCTGCCTACCCGTTCTCTTAGAGGCTTCGGGGATCCTGAAGGTTCGAGCGCTTAAGGATTTCTGGAACCTTCATGACCCCACCGCTCTCAACGTCCGGGCAGGAGACGTCATCACGGTGAGGGGTCCATCCGTCCTTTATGAGACAAGCAATTGCTGTGACTTACTTGGGCATCTGCTGTGGTACTAGGCCAAGCTAAATCCTTATATTCTCTTTCATGTAGCCCTTTTTAAATCTAGGGAGCATTGGTGCCGTTATCTTTTTCTTTTTAGATGACGAAGTTGAGGCTTTTGTCCAGGTCACATATCTAGCAAGTGGTAGAACTAGGAATAGCATATCATTGTTTGTACGCCCTGTGGTACGAGCACATTGGGCTGGCATTGGTGACCAAACTCGGGTAGAGGTCAGCTCTGTGTGGGGAAGGGCTGGACCAGGCTCACAGAGACAGCCACTGCTACTTGCTTGGTATAGTGACCGTCCTTTCCATCCACACCCTGTCACAACAGGTGCTTGAACAGCATCCCGATGGCCGCTGGAAGGGCCACATCCATGAAAGCCAAAGGGGCACAGACCGTGTAGGCTACTTCCCCCCGGGCATCGTTGAGGTGGTCAGCAAGCGGGTGGGCCTGCCTGTCGCCCGTCTCCCCTCTGCACCTACCCTGCTGCGGCCAGGCTTCTCCCGGATGTCACAGCCCTCTGCTGACGACCCCCTGCAGTCTCTCACCTACGGCCAGCTCCCTCGGGTGGGCCTCAGCCCAGACAGTCCAGGTACATTCTCCCAGAAGGCAATGCGGGGCACCGGGCGCTGGCAGGCCGCCATTCAGCTGTTAGCAGTGCCGCCTCTGACCTCTGTGCTTCTGCCCCCTGCAGCAGGTGACAGGAACAGCGTGGGCAGCGAGGGCAGTGTGGGCAGTATCCGCAGTGCTGGCAGTGGGCAGAGTTCTGAAGGCACCAATGGCCATGGCACTGGCCTCCTTATTGAGAACGCTCAGGTAGGAGGGAGGATACCAGGGCCTGGTCAGGGCCTGCCCATTGCCTGTTTTCAGGGTTCTGAGTATACTCTCTCTCTGTCCTAGCCACTGCCCTCTGCCAGTGAGAACCAGGTACTGTCGGGCCTGCACACCCCATCCCTGCCAGGTAAGGAGGGTAAATGGGACTGCTATTGGCTGGGAGGTCCAATGGGGAGGTAAGGCCATGCCCGGCCCTCCTCTAACCACTTCTGATGCTGTTTCTCTCCTTCTTGAAGACAACCTGAGCCACCGCCCACTGGCCAGTTGTCGCTCTGGGGAGACCTTCACCCAGGACGTGAGGCCTGAGCAGCTGCTGGAAGGGAAGGTGAGGTTTCTACCGGGAAGCATGCTTCAGGCCTTGGCCGAGGTGAGGGCTTTAGTGCCCACGTAGGCCTGGCCCTGGGGAAGGCACGGGCCACTGGGCTGGTCCCTTTCTCAGCTGACGTCTCCATCCCATCTGACTGCACGCCCCAGGACGCACAGGCCATTCATAACTGGCTAAGTGAATTCCAGCTGGAAGGCTACACCACCCACTTCCTGCAGGCTGGCTACGATGTGCCGACTATCAGTCGAATGACACCCGAGGTAAGTCCAGTAGCGGGCGAAGGGAGGGCCCGGCAGGCAGAGGAGGGCCCTGATGCCCATGCCCTGTGTGACAGGATCTGACGGCCATTGGGGTGACCAAACCTGGGCACCGGAAGAAGATCGCCTCGGAGATTGCCCAGCTCAGCATTGCTGAGTGGTTGCCCAACTATATCCCGGTGAGCAGGCGGACGGGGTGGGGCCTTTGGCTCTGGCCCAGGACTGTGGCCTTGGGAAGGGGCAAGCTTCCTTTCTGGCTTGGGGACAGCCAGGTTTTGATGGTGGCACTCTTCCAGGTGGACTTGCTGGAGTGGCTGTGCGCGCTGGGGCTGCCCCAGTATCACAAACAGCTGGTGAGCAGTGGCTACGACTCCATGGGGCTGGTGGCCGATCTCACCTGGGAGGAGCTGCAGGAGATCGGCGTGAGCAAGCTGGGTGAGGACTGCTCTGAGGCCTCCAGGCAGCCCCTGGCCTCAGCTACCTCAAGCACCTCTGAGAGGAGGGAAACGGGGAATCTGTCCGGGGCAAGCGGGACAGGCCTAGGCCCGGCTGACCCGTCTGCTTCTGTCTGCCCTTCCCAGGGCATCAGAAGAAGCTCATGCTCGGTGTGAGGAGGCTGGCAGAACTTCGGCGCGGCCTGCTGCATGGGGAGGCCCTGGGTGAGGGCGGACGCCGGCTGACCAGGGGTCCAGAGCTGATGGCCATTGAAGGCCTGGAGAATGGGGACGGTGCAGCTACGACTGGCCCTCGCCTCCTCACCTTTCAGGGCAGTGAGCTGAGCCCAGAGCTACAGGCAGCTATGGCAGGGGGTAGCCCAGAACCGCTCCCCCTCCCCCCTGCCCGTTCTCCCAGCCAGGAAAGCATTGGTGCACGCTCACGGGGATCTGGTCACTCACAGGAGCAGCCTGTCTCCCAGCCCAGTATTGGTGACCCCGGTGCCCCACAGGAGAGGAACCTTCCAGAGGGTACAGAGCGCCCCTCTAAGCTTTGCTCCCCACTCCCTACCCCTTACGTCTTTATGTGTCCACAGAGTTCACCCTCTAGCCCAGCCCCAGGGCCACCTCCTGGTGCTCCCCGGGCCTTCTCCTACTTGGCTGGCTCCCCTGCCGCTCCTCCAGACCCACCTCGGCCCAAACGCCGGTCCCACAGCCTGAGCCGCCCTGGTCCTGCCGAGGGGGAGGCTGAGGGGGAGGCTGAAGGGCCAGTGGGCAGTGCCTTGGGCAGTTATGCCACCCTTACTCGGAGACCAGGACGCAGCACCCTGGCCCGGACTAGCCCTAGCCTGACCCCAACTCGAGGGACCCCCCGAAGCCAGTCCTTTGCCCTCCGTGCCCGGCGTAAGGGTCCCCCGCCCCCACCTCCCAAGCGCCTCAGTTCAGTCTCTGGCCCCACGGAGCCACCTTCAGTAGAGGGAAGCCCAGGACCCAAGGAAGGGACCACAGGTCCCCGGAGAAGAACACTGAGTGAGCCTCCTGGCCCCTCAGAGCCCCCTGGCCCTTCTGCCCTGACTGGCCCTGTGTCGGACACGGAAGAGGAGGAGCCTGGGCCTGAGGGGACACCCCCATCTCGGGGCAGCTCAGGAGAAGGGTTACCGTTCGCAGAGGAAGGGAACCTGACTATCAAGCAACGGCCCAAGCCAGCTGGTCCCCCACCGCGGGAGACACCTGTACTCCCTGGCCTTGACTTCAACCTCACAGAGTCAGATACTGTCAAACGGAGGCCCAAATGTAAAGAGAGAGAGCCACTCCAGACTGCACTGCTGGCCTTTGGGGTAGTGGGTGGTGACACCCCGAGCCCCTCCACTCCCCTGTCCTCCCAGGCCCCCTGTGAATCCCCTGCTTCCTCTAACCCTCCACGGTCTGAGCCTAGCAGCCTTCCACCTCAAGGGACTCCAGCCCCAAATCCTGGCCCCAAATCTCAACCCCCCGGGCACCAAGGAACCTCTGTGGGGCCAGCTCTGGCAACAGGCAATCGGCTGGGTGTGGAGACAGAGTCTCCAGCTGCCCCTGCTGCCCTCCTCAAAGCACCTGGAGCAGGTAAGAAGTGAGGCCTGCAGAGGGAAGGCTGCTGTGTGCAGGGTGACATCTAGCCAAGTCACATGGCAGGTCACCTTTGTCTCTGCAGGAACAACTCCCAAGCCTGTGTCTGTGGCCTGCACTCAGCTGGTGTTTTCTGGCCCTAAGCTGGCTCCCCGGCTCGGCCCCCGCCCGGTGCCCCCTCCAAGGCCTGAGAGTACTGGGCCTGTGTGTCCAGGCCAGGCCCAGCAGAGACTGGAGCAAACCAGCTCATCTTTGGCAGCTGCACTGAGGGCTGCCGAGAAGAGCATTGGCACGGAGGAGCGAGAGGGGTGAGCTGGGTGCTGGGTGCGAGGGGGCAGGGCTGGGCTTGGGTGCCTTGGAGGAGAGACTGCAGGCAGAGTCTGGGGCCTCCAGTGGGGTGTCAGGGCCTAGTAGTTTTAGATTCCTGGTGACCATCACTTAAAGCCACATTTCTTTGTCCATGAGCCTCTAAACTCCCCTGGAAGGGAAGGGCGGAAACTCCTGCTACTGGGAGGTTGTGGACAGTAGGAGTTGAGGTACAAAGAGGCATCAGACAGCAGACCCACAGCCCGTCTCATGAAGGCCTTCCCTTGATGCAGTCCTACAGCAACCTCAACCAAGCACATTCTGGACGACATCAGCACCATGTTTGATGCTCTGGCTGACCAGCTGGACGCCATGCTGGACTGAGCAAGACTGGCTTGTGACCCTGCTTCCCATGGTACCCACAGTGGCCTGCCAGCGTTCACCACTTGTGGCCCAGCATGGAAGACTCTGCCACCCGAGGGACCGGAAGAGGGTTGGGTGGGCTGGAGCATCTACTCTTCCACAGCAGAGACCCTCCCGAGGCTTCAGGCAGTAGTTGTCAGAACCTGACTGAGGGGCCTCAGCTGTGTGGGAGGAAAGCCCCTCCCGTGTGCAGCTGACTGTACAGCTTCGGCCCCTGGACAGGGACCCTGATAAGAGCACTCTCCTCTAGGAGAAGGTGACGGCCGGGCTCTGTGGATGTCTGCAGCACCCACTGAGCTGCTCCCGGGCTCCGTGAGGCTGTGAGGAGGCTGCACACTTGCCTGGCCCCCTCCGTCGAGTGTACATAGGACATGTAAATACACGGCAGGGGCATGCCTTCCTGCCAGTGGCCATGGCCTTGTCACCTCCTGCCCGTCTGCACATCCCACACGGGAAGGCAGTGCTGGCCAGGGTCAGAGGCAGTGCGATTAACAAATCCCCAAGGCCCAAACCTTTACACCTGTATATAATATTTTTGAAGCAGAGAGAAATGCATATATTTTAAATGGAATTTATTCTATCTATTAACTGCCTGAGAGAATGCAGTGGGGAACGCCTTCGGACCACAGACGAACCCTCTGCCCACCTCCTGCTGGAGGACCCAACTGGTCCAGTCCCGGGCTCTGTAACTATTAACCTCCTCCCCAACTAACACCAATGAAGTGTCACCCACATGACTGGGCTGTGTTTCCATCTGTGTGTCAGATCTCCAAATCTGGGACTGTCCTTTCTCCCGCACCTGGGGGCACTCATCGGTGTGGAGAGGCGACGGCTGCAGTCTCGGGAGGGGAACCTCTCATGGTTGTTTCATGGATCTGCCACAGGCTTTTCTTAAGCAATTTACAATTTTAATATAAACCAGTTGACATTCATTCCCAAAAGGCTCATTTCCAGTAAAAAAAAAAAAAAAAAGTAAAAAAAAACTCCCAGAACAAAGACGGAGCCTGGGCTGGGTCCTCTGTGGACGACTTATGGCCAGCTGACGCAGGGTCTCCAGGGTGAGGTAGACCCTTTTCCATCTTCCAGCCCAGAGGAAGGGGAGGGCCTCAGGACCACAGCCAGGCCCTTGCCCCAGGAAGAGAGCACAGCATCTGCAGCAGTCGCTGCTGCGACAGACTGAGGCACACTCTGAGGCTGCCCCAGATGCAGGAGAGGAGGGTGTCAGGTAGGGGACCCCCAAAGAGGCCACTCATGGGGAAGGAGGCTGAAGGTCCCTTTACCAAGGGCCTGAGGTCATACATTCAAGAGTGCCCCCTGACAAGGCCAGGGAAGAGCCAGGGCAGTCCAGTCAACCATGGCTACAACCTCTCAGCTCCTTCATGAAACGCTCCAGAGTCAGAAGACAGCAGGGTCTCCAGTGCCCGGAGCTGAGCCTCCAGTGCCATGAGGCACAAAGACAAACCCTGAAACACTCGTGACACCGACTCCCCAGACTCAGGAGTTGGTCTGGCTCTAGCCCCAGGATCCAGGGCAATGACGGCCGCCATGGCCAATGTGGCTCAGAAGGGAGAGTTCATGCCTAGTTTAGTCTCAAACTGCAGCTTCTGTCGCTTCTGGTAGCGGACACGGACCCTGGTAAAACAGATTAAATAGAGTTGACAGCTCAGCGTGCTGATTCAGGCCTGTAATTCTAGCTTCTTGGGGGCTGAGGCAGGAGAATGACAAGACCAAGATGGATCTAGACTACTTAGTGAGAGCCTGTCTCAAAAAGCAAAAAGTGCTGGGACTGTAGCCAGGGCAGAACATATTAGAGGAGCTGGCTTACTCTCCAGCACCAGAAAAATACAAAAACAAAAAAAAGGTTGGCATGGCCCTTCAGACCAGAGGACTGAACAGGACGCCAACAAGGGGGTGACAGGCTTAGGGGACAGCTCACCGGATCTCATGCAGCTTTACAATCTCGTTGGTGACCACCACAAGGACCAGGGACAGGCAGCCCAAGAGCCATGTCAGCAGGGGCACATCCTGCAGGCCAAAGTGGACACGAGTGTCCCTGTGTGTCCACAGCTGCAGGTCCACAACTGTCTGTACCACCTGACCCAGGAGCCTATGGAAGGGAAGAACAGCCCTATGTGAAGAAGCCAGAGTCATTTTGCTGTCTTCCCTGCTTTCCCAGTACAAGTTCAGGGAGGGCAGTCAGACCCCTGTCTTCCTCCCATGATCCCTGTCCCGCAGCCCCTCCATCAAACACTACTCACACCACAGGCACGGTCACCGCCCACCAGAGGTTTGTCAAGGGGCTCTTTCTCCACAGAGGCTTCGTGCGATGTACGTGGGTGATGGAGATGAAGACTAGAAAGATTGGCCAATGGGGTGTCAAGGCCTCCAGTGGCCCCTAGTCCTGCCTCCCGCCTTGGAGCTTCCCCAGTGAGACAGAGTCCTCACCAGTGTGCAGGACAATCAGGGCAGCCGTGAGCTTCTGAGCTGACAGCAACCCGTTGGCGAAATCCTCAAACCAAGCTGGGGCCCTGTCATCATTGCTGCCGAAGGAAGGCCAAGGCTCAGCCTCATGAGGGCCCACAGGAGGACGGGCGGGGGGTGGGGGGGGGAAAGAAGCCCCAGGACCCACCTACAAAGCATGACTGAGGAACAGTTGGTGAGGTTGCGGGCCCGGGCGCTGTCACAGAAACTCTGCAGTGTGAAGCCAAAGCAGACGAGGCACGAGCTGACGGTGAGGCTGAACTTCAGCAGGAAGCAGAACAGGAAGTAGTGCTGGGTCTGTGGAAGACAGGCAGGCAGTCCTACGGCAGGGAGGCCCTCCATGGGCCACAGGGCAGGCCTGTTCCTGCTCATCCTCTCCATGTTTTGCAAGCTCTCATGCCTCAGGGAGCAGGGACCACACTCCCAGCTTTGACCACCACCTCCGCTGGCCAAGTATCAGAGCTCCAGGTTCCCGACCTCTGCAGAGCCTTCCAGGTGAGGTCCACTCCCAGGTCCAACCCTCAGACCCTCTGAGAAGCCTGGTGGCCTGGGTCTGCCTTACTAACCTTCTTAGGAATGGACTGAAGATTTTTGCCTGTTGCCATAGACATGATGGAGCTATGTGGTGGCTTCCCCAGTAGAGAGACGCTGAAATCAAGTGTGGGAAAAGGGACAGTGGTTACTGCCTGTGTCTCAGCTCTCAAAGTGAATGCCTGCAGGGAATCTTGGGATGAGGTCAAGTCTACAGTGAGGTGGAATGAGACGGGGCCTTGCCTCAGTGCCTCCTTGAACCACACGTGACCCCTGAGCCATCTTGCCAGAAACTCTGGGACCCTTGGGATGCGTGCTGGCACCCCAGCCCCACCAGCTGGGCACAGGGGCTTCAAGTCCTCTCACCTGAGCAGAGGGTAACAAAAGCAGGACAGCCATAAGATGTCTGTGGTACTCAGGAGCGGTGGCAGCTGGACCAGACAAGACAGGAACTAAACCAGAAAAGAAAACATCACCAAATCTGTGGACCCCAAGGCTACCGTCACCCAACAGATGCAACATCTTGACTGAGAGGAGCAGGGGAGAGAGGACGCTCCTACCAGTGGGGTCACCTCCATAGCTGAGGGTTACAGAGGTGTGTAGCTATGCGGCACCCCCAGACTCCTCAGACTTAGGTAACAGCTGTGCAGGCCCTGGCTTACCTGGATGACCACCAGGGTCAGCTGGCACTGCAACAGGAAGAGGAAGCACTTACGGATGCCGTAGGTGGCGTGCCGAGCCTGGGGACCAAGAGGGACAACAATAAGCCAGTGCAGCCTGTCTCACGCCCTACCACAAGCGAGATGCAGTCAAAGCCATATGTCCATGGCGCTCCTCTAGGAAGGAGCAGAGACAACTCAACTGCTTTGGGGAGCTCCATTTGTTCCTCCCACAGGCCAGGAAGGCAGGAAGCATGAGGTCTGGAGGGCCCAGAAGTATCATGTGTGGCAACTCTACCTTCAAGGCTACTCCGGAGGGCCCTATCTGAGACCTACCTGCTCAATGAGGCGAATGATACTGATGGTCTCTTCCTGGCGGAAGGTCAGGGAGCAGGGCAGGCTGTTGAGCTGCCCTGACAGCTGCAGGGGAGATAGGCCATCGGAGGCCTGGGCCATGGTGGTGCTGGTGGCGTAGCCAAAAGTCTCCCAGGAACAGCGGGATGGGTACAGGGGGTCCAGGGCAATGCTGCTCAGAAAGGGAAAATCCACCGTTGACTATACTCTGACAAAACTCTATCACCAGACTGCAGCGCCTCATCCCTCTTCTCCTACCAGACCCGGGGACCCGGGTCCCAGCCAAAGCAGACCCCTAGCTCCAGGCAGCCTGTCCACCCGGGGTCTGAGAAGCAAAGGTTAGCCCACAGTCGTGGTGTCTCCTGACCTGACATCGCTCTGGAGGAAGAGGCAGCTGTTACGCAGATTGGCGGAGCTGCCCAGGCAGCAGGTCACCTCCCCATTCTCCTGCATGATCTTTATCATCTCACACATGGCTGTGGGCAGGTGAGAGTCACAAGGTCAGACGGGCAGAGCCCGTGCAGGTGCTAACAGAAACCCACGGGCTAACGGGACAGCCAACCGGCAGCGTGGTCCCATGAGCAATGTCTCCGGCTTCCCGAGATGAGCGCGTCCACGCGTCATCCCGCTGGATCCCCAGCTGGTCCCAACCCGGGTTTTTTCACTCTTTGCTCAGAAAACGCTCACCCCTTGTGAGCTACAGCGGTGCCCACCCTGCCAGAGCTCAGGAGGAGGGGCCACAGCACTCACTATCAGGGGTACAGTCAGTGAAGAGAGGCACCAACAGCGGCACGTTGTCAATGTTCTGCAGGTGGGGCCGCACCTGGTGGATTCCCCGAGGCAGCTTGGCCTGCAGGATGCAGGGATGTCAGCAGTCTCGAGGCAGGAGGATGGGTTCTCCAGCCCCTTCCTCCCGCCCCTCACTTCCTGAATCAGTTCTGTGGCCCTTCAGGGGCATGGGGCAGATTCCACCATCATACCCGGTTGCAATCCTCCAGGAAGCTGGGGATGTCGCTGTCCGTAGGCTGGAAGCTGATGAGGTCTGAGTGACCTTCCTCCTCTAAGAGGAGGAGTCCTTCTGCATCATCTCGGGACACTGCGGGGAGGAAAGCCTGTTCTCGCCTTGGGCCAGCCTTGTGCGAGTCTCAGCCATGCCCAGCAGATGGTACCACCTTCTGCCCCCGGGCCTCCACTTTAAACAGCTCACTCACTGCCCACAGAATACCGGGCTGTCCCCCAAGGGACTGAGCTTCTGGGCAGGACCTACGCAAGTTTCTTCTAGCTGTACTTCCCAACAAGGGGTCTCCACACTCCCTCCAGCCCTGCCTGCCACAAGCCTTTGTCCTCACCCTGATTCAAGTCATCATGGAGAGAGCCCGCATGGCTGGGGCTGGAGGGAGGGATCTCAGAGCCAGGCATGTCACCGTTGGGCGTGAGGGAGATGTGGCAGTTCCAGCCTGTCTCCAGGCCCATCTTCTCAGCAAACACCTGTGGAAGGCAGACGGTGATGAGGGTGAGGGGTTCAGAGAGGTCAGTGGGGACAACTGGGAAGCCTCTCCCCACCTTGCTTTTGAGCTCATCCTCCAGAGAGAAGTAGACAAAGCGGATACAGGCGTTGACCAGCCCATCGATGAGGCGCACGATGTCCAGTCGGGCCTGGTACTGAGAGGACACCATGCCCATGAAGATCTGACCGCTCAGGGCCTGCATGC